CTAGGTCATTTTTAAAAGTACCCCAAATTCTGGTGAGTGGTGATTGTGGGGATGTATGCAACTTTTTGGATTTTCACCTATTTCATTTTCATGTGCAAATGGCCACGATACCAAACATTTTATTTAATAGCAGACTCGATTCAAATTTTTCATTTATGCTATCTACTATATCAAACATTTCAAAAATTTGCATCAGAAGTTCAAATGGAAGGAAACCGTAAGTTTGACGATTAGTTTACTTCAAAAAAATTATTTTGACCAAATCAACAAAGAAAAAATTGGTAATTTTATAATTTTAACATAAAATAATATAAAAGTAAAAAAGAGATAACACTATTCACTTTCTTCACAGATACGACTGTATCATCGTCGGACCAATACCAGCATCCAACATCCACTACAATAATCCCCACCACCTACAACCGTTTAGAAAAGCCCCCAATTGGTCCAAAACCATCAAAAATCCAAAATGACCACCAAGCATCACCATCACCAAAATCGTTGACAAATCTCCCTCCATTCACATCCAATTCCAATCCACACTCCATTCACATCCACCAAATACACGCATACACGTACAATCTTCTGCAAATATTATTGTTGGCCAAGGAAATTGAATTAAAACCTAATTGTCGCCACCATCGGGAGGAGAACAATTACAACTTCTTAGCATTGTTGTCGTCCCATGTCCATTACCACCACCAGTTCATCAATCTTCAGAGTGTTTCCGGTAAAATCAACCATCAATCTTTGGAAGTTTAGAAGAAATACCATCACAACAACCATACCAACCGAAGATGGGGAAAAATTCTCATCACCGCAAAAGGACAAAGGGGATCGCCGCGTTTGCCTTGTCGCACATACCGCCTTCAGTTCTATGATGTTTAGGACCGCCTTGGCTATGACCGCCCAAGTACATCGGTAGATTGTTTAATAAAGAAGGTTAAGGCAGCCATTGACGACCTTGTGCAACTTCCAACCTGGAAACCCACCACTAGTTCATCAATGGATGCAAGTTTTGAGCAAGAAGATGAATAGAAACTGGGGATTTCGATGACCAAATAGGAAGTGACTGTGTATGTTTGTGGAAAGAGTGGCAGGGGCCCGATGGTGGATTGGATGGGTTTTTAATTTGTTTTAGTTAAGTGTTGGGGCGGGATGGGGATGGGGATGTGGTGGGGGTACAGGTGTCAAGACGGACGAGCCGACTAGATCCGTGAAAATCGGCTTGGATCGACCCGGGATCACGGGCCGACCCGTGACCCGAGCGGGCGGTTCATGG